TGACTTATTTATTTCCTTTTTTTTATTAATAAATAAAAGTTCTTTACAACAAAAAAGTTTAACGAACATATTACATTGAAAGAAAATCATTACCAAATTTGGTCGTGAGATTCAAAATATTGTAACACGAAAATTATAGTTGCACTTCTGAGCATAACTTTCAAATTTAAAAAATCTATGAAAAGAAAATTTGAGACTAGTTTTTTTTTTAGATTAATAGACTCCCTTTTTAAAGCTGAATTGAATGGTGGCAGGGTTTTTAAAATCCAATGTGTGGATCACATAATATTTCAAAAATTTTGACTTTTGAGTATAGATAATCCGCACTGTATTAATAAAATAAGAAAATTCTAAATCACACCATCCTCAGATGTTAACTCTCATGTATACACAAAAAGTATAAAGAATAGCCTTAGAATTCTTTCAAGATCGTTGAATACTACTTTAAAATTCTTTTGCAGTTATTTTATTGACTTGACTTATAACAACATGTGATTCATTTGGTTGAATACTTGATAGTGTTGGCCGAAAATTAAAAAATTCAAATTTTATATGTTATGAACTCAGATTCCTACATATAAACATTTTTAAGAAACATTCCAAGCCCTTTAATATTTTGATACAATAATCTATGAATTTACTTTATACATACATAAAAAGAATAAAGTTTGTAATACCAAAACATCGTGCCTTATTATCTGTTAAACATTGTCAACTGACGATTTTTTACCATTTTTGCCCTGTCGATCATCAATAAATTCTCTCATTAATTCGCGGATTGGCAATTAACATTAAAAGACAGAATTACAATTTTTTATTTATGTTATGCATTAAATGATATACATGAAAAAGATTTAATCCATTGTGATTTACATAGTGGTAATATACTTGTGGAAGAAGGTAATTGTTATATTACAGATTTGGAATTATGTGGTCCAGTTGATGATGAGTCATCAAATAAAGTCTATGGAATTGTATCATATGTTGCACCCGAGCTACTTAGAGGCAAAATTAATACAAAAAAGGTCAAAGAAACTGATATCTAGGGAAATACTTGCAGGTCATCCACCATTTGATAATAGAGCTCACAATCATTGTTTGATTTTTGATATATGTGAAGGCTTACGACCACCAATACTACCTGGAATGCCTGATAATTATGTGCAAATGGTGCAGAGGTGTTGGGATGTGGATCCATCAAAAAGACCAACTATTAGAGAGCTTTGGACATTTGCTGAAAATAAACTTGAAGAAATTATTAAAAATAATAATGATGGTAATCATACTGCTAGTAGTAATAATGATTCGCAACAAGCACACAAACCACATCCAGATGCATATCATACAAGTAGAATATTAGATGAAGAGATTGCTAAATCTAAAAGCTTGAAAATTTATACAAGTAATAGTTCATTAAATAATCTTGATTATGACTCTTTTTTCTAAATGTTAACAAAGGTAAATAAAATTTCATTATTAACTAATTGGAAATTACTATCACTATAAATTTATTCTTTATCTATTTTTTTCATCCTTATTTTATTTCTTATCTTGCAACAATATTTTGAAATAAACTTTTTGATTCTTGTTAAATGGTGATATTGCAAAGTATCATTTCGGCTAATTAACAATTATGACTTAACTTTTGTGCTACCCTTGTCAATGAATTGCAGATAATTCGGTGCTTGTCAATTAATTAAGTTTACGAATTTGGTTCCCTCTTTCTTGCACCTAGACGAATTTGTGAGCACACTTAATAGCACCTGATAACTGTAAATAAACAAATATGACCTTTTTGCAATACTATAAAGTTCCTTTTATTTATTCACTTGTGATCGATTTGTTTCAGTCTTTTGTCCTTGTTTACATTTATTGGCCGATTGCAAACTCGCTTTGGTTTACTTGCAAGACAACTTGAGTAGTTTGTTTAACAGCCTTACATTTACGATTACAATAACATTCCTATTAACCTTTGGACGATACTTCATTAACACCCACTAATTAACCAATGTTATCCTAACCTTTGCTTACTCACTAAAGCAAATTACGTTACCAAACATTGTTAACACTCGCTAGTTAACCAACGTTAGTCCTAACCTTACTTTGCTTGCTACTAAAGCAAATAAATATGGCTTTTTACTTAATGCTCCACAACTGTTGCCTTTTATCAAGGCACTAACTACGCTTGTTTCTTTTATCAAAGCGCTTTAAACAAAGAAAATAAAACAATATTTTTATTTAAAAATAATGATTATATTAGAGTTTATTTTATTAGAATGTATTATTTTCCTCAGTGAGGACCTGAAGTTATGCTTTTTCAAGCGTTTCACCACAATAAGGATAAAAGATAAGATGCAAAGTAACTTGATCAATCAATTATAAAAGGCTTTTGCGTAAAATTTAATTTGATACACTAAAATTAATTGATCCTTGAACATAAAGTACTGAACCCCTAATTAATGATTTTATCATGTATTAGTATCACGTTATCAATATTAATGCAAGAAATGTTTGAATTTAGTAGTGAATTAGTGTGCGAGAACTGAATTTATACTCAGCAAAAGAAAAACTTAACTTTTTGGGAATTACTCATGAAACAAAGGAGAGATTAGGATATACAAGAAAAAAAGACCTCGGAAATATATTTATAAGTTTTTTTTGTGAGCTTTTATATTTTATTCGCCTTTAAAGCAATTTTACTCGCATCATTTCGACTTAATGGTAACGAATTTGGCGTAATAATTTTACAACTGTGGTAACATTTCGTCAAACAACATTCGTTCGGAGAATTAGCACTGGATACGAAGTGCCTAAGCAACCTATCTGTATTCATGATCAATGATGCAATATTTAATAAAATAGACTATTTAATGGCCAGATGATACATTGATCAAGTGGTATAATAATTACCACAAAAACATATATAAATAGACCCATAAATGCAAAAAACGGTGCAAAGTTATTTACGAATTTCTATTGTTTAAAAAAAAAATCAACTGAGCTTTTTTTTCCTAATTTAAAAAAAAGATATTTTTGTCCTGATTTTTTCCTCGTGTTTATTTATTTTATCACAGTTTAAAGGTCAATTGTATCGATTGGATTTTTTTTTTTCAAGTCTATTACTATATAGAAGAGTAGAATTCATGCAAACATTTACAAATTTCGATTGTTAAGAAAAATAAACTAAGCTAATTAAAAAAAAATGCAATTTATTTGTTTTCCCCGAAAGGAAATTTTTCCTATCCAGATCATCCACTATTTCTCAAATGGTCAAAATCAAAAAAAAAATCGTAACATATTGTTTGATTTATCGATCATTGAAATAACAAAATAAAATGTAAAAAGGTGTTTTTGAATCCCGGTCTCGTGTCCCGAAAAATATACGAAGACTAACGTTGTGTAGCAAGTCTTTGACGATATGGGATCTGAGGTAAAGGCTCCAAGGCAAGGCCATAAGTTCTTGGTCATTTCAAACAATCCGAAGCGTCAGAGAAAGACGAATACCTAATGGTAGACAGCGATAGATACCACGCAAAGACATACACGATTTCCTTTCAATCAAGTATCTGCTTCGCTCAATCCTGACGTTTTGAACAAAAACAGATAAATTTTTCCAAATAAATATAAATGAGAATTCGCATGATACGGCGATGTAAAAATAACCACAACCCTTTGTCATTTTTGGAAAACAAAAATATTTTTTAACGAGTCTTCTTTATAACATAATGTTTCCCAATTTGATTAAAAAATATATATACAGGATATTCCAATATAAAAATCTACACAGAAATTACATTTAGAATGTAACACGGCAACCTTTTCTTCTTTTATGTATATACTAATAAATAACACTAACAACAAAATTCTTTCTCATTCATTTTTTTAAGGGATAAACAAACAGTGTTGTTTGTACACGAGAATAACATATATACAATTTTATTAAGACAACTGTTGTGTGCTATTATATAATTAAAAATTGAATCTTATTATTACCTAAACCAGATAATAATAAGAGTTCAGACACATAGATTCTCTTTTTTTGGTTTTATTGTAGAAAATAAAAAAACGTTTATGGTTCATAAAAAAAAAGCATTTTTGGCATGAGAAACCATGTTTCACAGTTCTTTAGGAAAAAAAAAATTATTTAGAACCTCAAAGCAGGTTTTCTCACATGTTAATATTTCAATAGATGTCTAATTTGGAAAAGTATTAAACTCATCACTCCAAATAATAGATTTCCATTGTCTCGCCGTTCAACTTCTTTGTCTAAACACCATATCAACTGATTCTCTCTACTAACTGTAAGGAAATTTTAAGAAACCAAATCATGAGAATCAGAGAACTTTTCAGAGACAGCAGATCCAAACTTGTCTTTCATTCTATTGGTCTTTTAATGGCCACTTACTCTCTTTTTACAGACCTTTTTTTTCTTTCGTCATTATTAAGGAGTAATAATACACCATGTACAACATTAAAAAATGAACTATTACCTTGGTATGAGTCAAATATTGCACACTGGAACGCTTCGGATTTAGGAACTGGCATAACCAATCCACCGGACATGAATACATCTGTTTATTTTATGAACCATCTGAAAATTAATTATGGATCATATACTGGATTTTTTCAAAAAAATGGCTCTTATGCTGGTGTGGTAGGCACTGCTACTAGGAGAAATACTTCTTTTCCTTTAGTCACTCTTGTTTCTGCTGTTTATGATTATAGTTATCTCATTATTAGCCAGGGAGACAAAAGTCCAGAACTAGTGTGTAAAGATTTTATATCAGATTGCTTCTTAGATAAGACAATTAATTTCCCTTTTACATCACTTGATTTTGGTCCTGTTAAAACTTTTGATTCGCTTGCCACTTCTATTTCTCCAAATCTTCAAATGTATATTTGTCAATATAAAGATAATTCTACTCTTTCTTACAAGTGGGCTCAGAACCTTGCTAAAGCAGCAATTATTTGTATTGGAGTACTGGAACTGCTCAAGATTCCAATCCTAATTATATCACCTGCTTTTTTATATAGACTCAAACAACCTGGTATTCTAAATTTTGCCAACAATTCTCCCTTTTTAATCCTTCTCATAGCTAAAGATAGGAGAGTATATCGGTGTATCCGAGAAGCTATGGAACTAGAAGAAACAAATAGTCTTCAACTTCTTGGTGATACTTTTCTGCACTCATTGCCCATGCTGGTGTTAACAGTTCAGAGTCTTGTATTTCAAAGCAATGTAGCTAATAGTATTATCCCCCCTCTAACCATCCTGTCTCTCGTGGGAAGTTGTGCTGGATTGTGTTTTTCTCTTTTCCGTATATATGTTGCTCTCATGACCATAATTCCAAATCAGACCCAAAAACTTAATGAGGAAATTTCATCATACTGTCAGAAACATCCAGAACAAAGATGGCATTTACCAATTACTTTTGCAACAATAGATAGTGTGTTTAGTTTTCTTCCTATAATATTTATGATTACTCTTGTAATTCAAGGATTCAATAGTGTCTTCATTTTCATCATCCCATTGCTGGTCATCACTGCCAAGTTATTGATCTGTGCTTCACCATTTTGGACACCACGTTTTCGAAAACCATTGACATCACCTCTAGTGTTTTCTTTTACTCTGAATAGTCCGATCCTTCCTCTTCTTTGCATCCTCTCATCATCATTTCGACGGTTTGTTGTCATAACAGCTACCAGCGGTGTTACTTTCTGGTCTGGTTGGTCATTGGACTTTGTAAGTGTTGATTTGCCAATTTTGGTGGCATTGATTGTAATGAGAGCATTCGGCTATGGAAATCATCAGGATGTTGTCCTTCTCCAACAAAATTCTGTGTTAGTCATTCTGATTAGTTTTTACTTGATGTGGAAAATAGTTTCAGGATTACAAAGTAACGCACGTTAAAGAGAGTTTACGATTAATTAATTAGTTACACATTTATTCATTAGTTAGTGGATATAGATAATGCTGGAGAACATTAACTCTTATTTTTAATTAATTATGTTTCCTTTTTACGTTCTTTCTAAGCTGTGAAACATATGCTCTATTCGCATAACATGTATTTTATTATTATTTATTCATTGTAATTTTATATAAATATACGAACAAAAAGATCAATAAATGAATTAAGTTATTTTTCTCTGGCAAATACATTGGAATATTATCTAAGTGATAAATATTCGTGAGAAGTGAATTAAACTTTGAAAATTGCATTTTAACGATTTTAGTAAGGAAACTCTTACAATATCAATAAAAATAATGTGAACAAACACCGTGGCCACATTCTCGTAAATCACGGTAACTCCTAAACAAAGAAAAGTAAAAAAGAACAAAAGAACAAAAGAACAAAAGAACAAAAGAACAAAAGAACAAAAGAACAAAAGAGCACAGGACCCGTATGAGATCAATGAAAAGTCTGGCAGCTGAACCCATATTTTATCAAACATGTTTCATTCTAATAAATTATTTGATATATACAGTATTACGTCTTGTTGTCATGTTAATTCGCTGATTAGTAATAAAAAAATGCAACTGGACGAAAGATATAAAGAGATCACGTTTGTATCTTTTCCTCGACGTCATCTTCTCATAATCTTCTCAATATCATCATCTATCATCTTAATCTTGTAATAACATTAATATCTAACGAATAAAATGTATCTTGTACACATAAAGTCTGCCTAATTACCCCCATGTTATGGCGCTATAATCTACCATTTTCTACTTAACCACTAGACAGTATATCAGTTCTAAATAGTTCAGTGACACTCTCATAACCCATAATTGAGGACGTGAAAATTTTGTTTGTAGTATACTTTCCCTTTCTTGCATTGAAATTAACTGGTTAGCATCTGATTTTCAAAAATCAAATTGCTACATTAACATATAAAAATGCTTTTTTTTGGAATAAAAACTTCTTATTAAAGATCCTTTTTGTAACAGACATTACATTTCACAAGCTTGCGAAGAAAATTTCAAAATTGTCAAATAGACACGTATGTCATTTGAACAACAGATACACAACCTGTTTAATTAATGTAATAATTTGGTTTTACTTGTATTTAGTAATTTGTGGTTATTGTGAAAGTATTGAATTAAATTTCATGGTTCCTGGGTGCACCAAATTCAAATGTGATGGTAGTTTTGGTTTAATAAAAAAACTCTATAGGAAAACAAGAGTAGATTGTCTGGGTCATGTGGTTGATGTGGTGAAAAGATCTAGTCCAGCAGGATTGAATAAAACTCAATGCTATGAAGGTGGAAAAGGTTTTCAATATTTAGATATTAAAGCAATTTTGGGAATTTATTTTAAGAAATTACCAGGTATCCAGAAATATCATCATTTTCTTTTTGAAGCATCTAATTTTGGTGCAGTGAAAGTTCAAGAAGTTGTTAATGGACCTTTTGCTGAATTCAATTTATTGAAAACTAAGAAAGCAGATATTTTTGAAGAGATTAAATCTTTATCTATTTTAGTTTTAACACCACCTCCTTTGGATCACAAAAGACAAGAATATCTTTATCATAATATTTGCCCATTTGTGAAAGATGAATACAAAGATATTACTTGCCCAAGACCAATCTATACTGGCAATGAATAAAATATTTAGAATAAAATCACCTCCAGTATTTCATTGTCATTAAGTTTAATAAGTTTAATCTTTCAATAAATATTGCTAGCTTTTAGTAAAAAAAATACTAAAATAGTTATATACTTAATATACTCTCTAAAAAGGATATAAGTATTATTAAAAGAATAATAAATAAGAAAATCATGGTAAACATCCTAAAAGAGCAACAAGAAAAAAATAAAAACTTATTAGAAGAAACCAAAACATTAAAAAAGCAAATTAGAAAACAAAGAAGATGATTTTAAACTAAGAATTTGAAATGCTATTGACAATGTTAAGGAAAGCGAAAGACCAGATATTGCTGGCACTTTAATGACTTTAGAACAACATTTTTGACCCAAAGATGAGTGAGTAAAGATTCAAAAAGAAAGTGGAGTTGAAAAAGTTACTTTTGGCAACAATTTCACTCTTGAAAACATTGTTAAAGGCTTTAGTGAATGAACATTACTTAGTTGTAATTCTCTCAGTTATGTTTCTGAACAAAATAAAAAACTTGAAGAAAAGAATGCTGAGTTAGAAAAATGTAATGTTGAGTTGAAAGAGAGTATAAAAGAAAAAGAACTAATTATTGAAAAACAAAAAGAAACAAATTGTGGCAGCAGAATTAGATGCTAAAATCCATTATGACTTTATTGGAGCTTTGCAAGGGTTAAATGGTAAAGTAAGAGATAAGTTACATGCAGAGATAGCAGAAAAATCATTAGAAATTGAGACTGCTAATGAAAATCTTGAAAAAAGGGATGAAAAAATCAGGGAAATCCAAGCTGATCGAGATGAAAAAGTGGAAGAATTGGAGAAAATTAATGAAGGATTCAGAAAGTTGAAAGCAGACTACAAAAAATTAGAAGATTTACTACACTTATTTAGAAAACCTTTACCTAATTTACCTAAAAAACAACATAATAATAAGTTCCAAAACTTAACAAAAAAGGTGAAACACCATAATAATAAGCAAGAAATGGTTGCTAGAATAGAAGTTAAAATAAATAATTTTTACACTTTACAATAAATGAAAGAATTAAGATATACACTTTTAGATTTGCCATGAGAGTATAGGAGTAGAACTTGTGATTTTTGCTCTAATTACAGTGAAAATAATGGATGTGCTAATCTAATAAAAACTCATCATGAGATGACCAATAAGTTAATTGCAGCTGATGTAATCTGCAAAAATTGTAAAGAAAAATTTGAGAACGATGAATTGCCCAAGTGTGAAAAATGTGGCAAATTGCAGACCAAAACTGATTTGGATTTGTTTAGTGGTAAGTATACTTGCAACTGTAGGGAAATGGCAAAGGAGAAAGAACTTCCTAATTTACCTAATCAAAGGGAAAGCATGACTACTTTTTATGAGCAACAAATAAACAGATTACAAGAAGAATTAGCCACTGCTGAAGAAGCATTAGAAGTTGAAAGAGAGGAAATAGCCAAGTTTCAGGAAAAATCTGAAGAGTGAAGTAAAAAGCAAAAACAGGAATTACTAGATAAGGTAAAGGGTTTAGAAGAAAGAATTAAATAACTAGAAGAGGCCAGTGTTCACTTTGTCTGGTTTTGTTGCAGCATGCCCCATATTAATCTTATACACAAGTTTATCTTAGGTCATCACAGGTAATCAAGCACAGGAACTTAGACAAGAGACAATTGATCAGATATGATTTTTTATATTTTAAACCAAATCATGGTTACAGTACAGTGGAGTAGAGATGTGCCATGCACATAATAAATATTTATGGTAATAAATAAATTTGTGTTATGTACCAAAATATAATGGCAAAATGGGCTCTATCCATTCCAACATCATCTGCAGCATCCAAAAAATTGGTCAGCTTCTGTTTTATATTCATGATAAGAAATGAAATTGATTAACAGCCGATCATGTCCTAAAATTGGTATACATTTATAGTAATTATAAATTGCAAATACCATAAAAGACATCAATGTAGAAATGATGATGTTCAAATACAAAATGAAAATGAAGAAAGTGAATATGAGTATTTTTTTAATAGTAGTTAAAATGAAAAGAGAAGAATCCAATGATTTTTATGATTCTGGTGTAACTTATTTAGTTAAATATAATAAATGCAAGTATATATAATATTTTTTGCCACATCTTAAGTTAAAAATAATTTTATGGTTTATTACATGAATGTTTTTTAAAAATCATTAATATTGATTCAATTTAATTAAGGCTCCGAATGAATCAACGAAATTCAAACTGATTCGAATATATAATTTGATACAATTCAAAAAATCCTTATTTTAATGTATATTTTATAATTTTATTTACAAAAATATTTTTTATTTTATATTTATTTATATAGTATAAATATT